AAAAAAAAAAAAAAAGAAATAGAAGGAAGTAGCAGAAATGTCTCTGTAGCCATCTACCAATTCAGTGACAAACGACAGACATGAAAATAATGCCACTGCTTGACTGGCAACTTGAAGTAGATTTTAATAATAACACATTGATTCTCCAACATGACATGCAGCAAGAAGCTTTTACCTGAACGGATTCAATTTTTCTCCCCAATAAACAGGCACTGGGGGTGCAGACATTGATTTCATCCAGTTTTAGGTTAAACAGATGTCAGCATGCTTTAAACATTAATCGATAAGCCTCTCTCATCGATAAAAGGTGGAATAAAAAGAACCAATTTCTGTGCATCTGTTTTACCTTTAATTGTGGTTTTGTATGCAGCCTGTGGATTCTTAATGTAATTGGTAAGGTGCCTTTCTACATCTGCTGGAATGCTTGGTCTATGTGATTTTGATTTTGTAAGTGCTGTATCAAATTTCAGCTTAACATCACTTTGGTTCTACAGGAATAATTAAAGATAATAGGGTTGTCAGCATTTCCTGAATTACTTTACTTTTTTAAAATTGCTGCAGAAGATTTTCTAGTGCACTTCCTAATGTTATTTTCACATGATGAGGTCATTTTATAAAGTTACGGTTGATACTTAAGGCTGGTGTTGGTCAGTGTAACAGAACTGTTGCACTAACAGGGGCATCAAAGAAGGACAACACAACAGCAAAACCCCCTGTGGTGACTTTGTTATAGAGCTGGCTGAATCATGTAAAGATAATGCCAGTAGGTTTTCATTACTAAGTTGAATCCTGTATACATGAATCATTAATGTGTCTTAAAATAAACAGTGATGCAGATTTTATATGTACAGTATAATGTATCAAAAATGTGCATCAAACATAATTTACTCTATTGAATCCACAATCTAAATTCCCCAGGATATTTCACATCACTAGTATGTTTTTTCCTCTCTGTTGCACCAGAACAATGAAAAACGCTGAACCTGGTCCATGATGTCTTTGACTTTATCCTGTTCACAGTCTAGGATCACCCTCCTCTCCTTCTTGTTCTCCAGGTCTTGGAACAGAGAGCGGTAGGCTTCATCCTTCCTCTCATCTTTCAGGTTCCCCACATTGATTGCTGTCACCTGCCACTTCTTCTCTGCTGCTGTGTCCAGAACAACTTGAAGCGTTGTCAGGCCTGAGGAAGGAATAAATCTGGAATTAAAACATTATTCAAATACTCTGTGTGACTTATTTATTCACTCTGTCCTTTGGCACTGAAATTCTTGGAGAGCTGTTGCGGCTTTAGAGATACTCCGCTGACAAATGGACATTGAAACATTTAACCATATCGGGGAAGTAATATATTGAAATAATAATTATGTAACTTTGTCTCATTCTTGCTTTTTTGCTCAAGCCAAATACCCCATTTGCCTGATACTAGTCCCCCAATAATATCTGGAGTGAGCTCAATGTATGGACCACAAATGAGAAGAGTCATAGCAGCAAGGCAAAAATATAAAGTTAACACAGACAAGTCCGATACAAAAGCACTGGTGAACACACTGACTGCATTCACTGTCTGCTTATTCAAACTGTGTGGAGGGTTTATAGTGACTCAATTACTTATGTAAAGCGCTCATCAAGATGAGTCACAGATGTTCTGGCAGGAACCTGACCATCATGTGGGAGGAAAGTGCGTCTAACAATGCACTTCACTGCATAGACAACAAATGTTCTATTGCTGCTTTAGGACTCTATTGTTGTGGAATTTTGAACTGAACATTGTGTGTAGTCCATTTTCCTTTCCATTTTTGAACAATTTTGTCAGTGACAAACTCCCTTTACTTGGTTGTGTAAATTTCATTTGTATCATATGGTTTTCATCTGCAGATAAAGATTTGTTAATTGTCATGGGATTGAAAATCCGAGACTGAGCTGACAGATTTAGCATAAAGTTTGAACAACTGCACTTTTATGACCTTGAGAAAATGTAATTTTTTTTAACTGCTGTTTCCAAGGTCCAGAATGAACTATCATGCTCAGAATCAGAATCAGCTTTATTGGCCAGGTGTGACGGACACACAAGGAATTCGACTCTGGTACATCGGCTCTCAATGTGCAAACAGTAAACCAGCATAAGGCTGTGTAATATAACAAAATAGCAGTATTAACATCAACAAACAGTGCAAATAATGCAGAAAAAAAGCAGTATAAACAGACAGTAAACAATGCAGACAAAGGAATGTTCACTGAAATGAGATAAATAGGGATAAAACAGAGTACTTAAGAACTAGAGACCTGTACAAGTCTCTATAATCTGTGTAAAGTATATTTACAGGTATTGCATTGAGGGTTGTCGTCCAATCATACTGCCGTGGGTTAAGTGTTCATCAGAGCGACAGCCTGGGGGAAGAACTTGTCCCTGTGCCTGGTCGTCTTGGTGCACAGTGACCTGTAACACCATCCAGAGGGGAGGACTTCGAACAGATTGTGTCCAGGGTGTGAGGGGTCAGCAGTGATCCTCTCCGCCCTCCTTTTGACCCGTGCGGTGTACAGGTCCTCCATGGAGGGCAGGCTCACACCAATGACCTTTTCTGCAGTCCTGACTGTCCACTGAAGTCTGTAGTTGTCCTGTTTGGTTGGTGAGCCAAACCAGACAGTGATGGAGGTGCAGAGAACAGACTCAATGATTACTCTGTAGAACTGTATCAGCAGCTCCTGGGGCAGGTCGAACTTCCTGAGCTGGCGCAGGAAGTACATCCTCTGCTGTGCCTTCTTGGTCGGCTACACCACAGGACCAGCTGCTCAACCTCCCATCTGTAGGCTGACTCATCACCGTCTCGGATGAGACCAATGACTGTTGTATCATCAGCAAACTTTAGGAGCTTGACAGAGGGGTCCTTCGAGATGCAGTCGTCGGTGTAGAGTGAAAACAGCAGAAGGGAGAGCACACATCCCTGGGGGGCACCTGTGCTTATTGTCCGAGTGCTGGATGTGGTTTTCCCCAGCCTCACCTGCTGCTTCCTGTCTGTCAAAAAGCTAGTAATCCACTGACAGGTGGGGGCAGGCACAGTGAGCTGGGTCAGTTTGGAGTGGAGGATGTCCAGGATGATGGTGTTGAATACCAAGCTGAGGTCCATAAAGAGGGCCCGTGCATAGGTCCCTGGGGAGTCGAGGTGTTGCAGGATGCAATACAGTGCCATGTTCACTGCATCGTCCACTGGCCTGTTTGCCCGGTAGGCAAACTGCAGGGGGTCCAGCAGGGGGTCTACGATGTCCTTCAGGTGGGCCAACACCAGTCTTTCAAAGGACTTCATAACTACAGATGTCAGGGTGACAGGTATGTAGTCGTTCAGTCCACCGATGGAGGTTTTCTTGGGAATGATGGTGGAGCGTTTGAAGCAGGAGGGGACTTCACACAGCTCCAATGACCTGTTGAAGATAAGTGTGAAGATGGGGGCCAGCTGATCAGCGCACCATCACTTCCCTTAGCCTTAAACAAATGTATGAACCACCATGCAGCTCAACTCACCAATAAAGATTATTAACCATTCGGACAAAGCATTCTGTCAGGTTTGCCCGGCTGCACCTTCCTCTCTTCTCTCTTTCTCGCTCTAGTCTGCTCCTTCTCACTGACTCTCTTGATTAACACACCTGTCCTGATTTTCTGACACTCTTCAGCTGCGCCTCCTTTGTCACTCCCTATTTATACCCGGCCTTACCTTCACTCCCTTGCTGGTTCTTTCTATGTCGTTAGCCTTCTTTGCATTACGTATTATACTATTTTTTCTCCTGTTTTCACATATGTTAGTTCTAGCGTCTCCTGTTGTTTTACCTGGACCTCTCCTCTGGACCATGGCTTCCTCAGCTCCACCAACCACTTTCACAGGTCGATGCACAGTCTCCTCATTCATTCCACTCTCTGTTACTTCTTCAGTCAACCGGATCTCCACCTTGACCAGCCCAGGAGTGTCTCCTTCCCTCGCAGCCCAACCACATCACTCCATGGACAATAACCCCTCCACTACTGTTGGTCATCACCCGGTGATATTCATTCATTCTATTTTGTATATAAGTCTTGCACCTCTGTTTAGCACTGTAAATAAACCCACCTATTGCACCGAAGCCAGCCGCCTGGGTCTGTTCATTTCTGCTCGCTCATAATTTGTGTCGAGCTATCCTAACACATTCACTTGAATTGAACTGAACTCTGCCCTTTGTGGAAGTGAATGAGTGTGGACAAAACAACTGTTACATCAATACCATTCTTTGGACCCACTTCGTTGGGCATTATGCATTGCAAACTAGTAAAACAAGATGCTGAAGTTACAAACTCACAGATTCCACATCTGAGTTATTACATGTAGCAGCTGACCACCAGTCTGAAATTCAGTCTGTTAAAGGCAAAAACAACAGTCTCCGTTTGGACCAAATATTCCTATCGCTCTCTGATTCTAGTTTCATAACTGACTGTCTGGTGATATTGATCCCAGGTCTGCAGAGGGCAACTGGTGAGTGGTTTGATAAAAGAGTGGAGTGCTTCATTCTGCCTTGCTACAGTGAGGTAAATTGCAGATGTAATCAATTTCATGCGACAAGGTGGTGCCTTTATGATGGTGGGAAGGAAAATGAGGTCTTGCAGTTTTACCTGAATAAGCTATACATCAAAATTACAGTGAGGATATTATGGTATGGTTAAATTTGATTGATTCATCAATGTTTATTAAATGAGATAAATGGAATTCAGAGTGATTTACAGTGAAAAAAATGCAAAGACAAAAGAAGAACATTAAAGTAAATGTTGATTCTGCATTAATGGTGGTTAAGGCTGAATTGCAATTTTAGATGATTGGCCTCTTGGAACTGTAAATGAGGTGTCCTTATGGCATGTATGTCTGTGTAATGCAGCTCTGTAAGTTTTCAGCATCTATTAACATCACTGTAATTTGCGTATTATACTGGCAGAGTTTATTTTCACACATGTTGAAATCATGTTTGTCTGTGATGTAGAAGCTTTGTCACAGTTTCATATTTATACATGGTGATAGAATACTACGCTTCTGAGCTGGTACTGACCTATGGCTTGTCCTTCTTGCAGCAGGAGAGTATCATGAAACCTAAATAACTAGATGTTTAAAACATAGTTCTGGTCTATGGTTTAACCACTGTTCAAAAATTAGAGCACAAGATAACAGTGGTACTGATCTTTGTTCTTCTCTGGTGAAACAGACCCAACCATGAGTAAAAATTTAAAAAATAGCTGATGATTAGAACACTGGTTTTTTTCCTTGCTTGTGCTAATGTGATTGATTAGTATTGAACAAGTTATTTGAAAAATGTCTTCCCATGTAAAACCTATGAGGCGTTGTGGTTTAACAGGCAGTCTATAATTTTGAGGGATCACCATCACAGATTAATATTAGTTTAGCCCTGGTGACAGCAAACATCAGCCCTCCAAATGTCCTGTCCACATATTGAACCTTTAGGCTTTATAGATCCTCCAACTCTGAACATTTAGGTGAGTCCTGAATGTAGGTCTACCACCAGCTACGTAAAAAGACACAGCAGGTAAATATGACACTTTGAGTTACCAGACAGTGTATTCATCCTCTGTTTACTGAGGCTAGCCAGTTGTCCCACTGACAAGTTTTGATTGATTGATTTTATTCTTTCAAGCATGTAAAAACAGTCGATATGTCAACACACATAATTTTACACATATCCAACAAATGCTAATCCAATATCAATTTGCTTATACCTAGTACATGCTTGAATGGAGTAGGAAGAAGTCAGACTTATCCAGTCCTACCCCATGACATCATCTTACCATCATTGGTTTGCAAGCAGTAAATAATTCTCTTCTACACCACACAAGTAATATACTAAAAAATTATAACAGAGTGTTAACATTCTTACATAATTACATTCTTAAATAATTATCTTCTACACCACACAAGTAATATACTAAAGAATTATTACAAAGTGTTAACATTCATACACCACACCCACAATTGTCCATGTAATTAATCATTGAGCCTG